TCCACGTCGAACATCCTCAGTGCTTCTTCCCGATCAACACGGGGTTCACTGTGCAAGGCGTGACAGCCAACAACTTGGAATCCAACTTGGACATGGTGAGAATATCATCCACAATGCGTTTCTGGTGCTGGGCGCACGCTACGATCGTCTCTGCATTGTCGATACTGTCGGCAATCAGTTGAGAGAGATCAACTTGCCCATCGCCATGCGAATCTGTGGCAGAGGAGGCTGACCGCGGGCTTCGAGGGCTTCGGGGCCCATGCTCCAAGAGCTCCTGGCCCTTGGCCAATGATGCAATGATGGCATCAGAACAATGGATGATGGCGCTCAGCGGGATTGCGCATTTCGTGCGATGTCATGTCGATAAAATTATCCTGCTGCCGCTTCGAATCAATCGCCTCCTCTTTCCTCTCGGTTTCGAGCTCCAGTTGCCACTTTGGGAGTGATACATCGCTGAGGCACCCAGTAAACGACTGCACCACGCCGTCGGAATCCCGCACAGGCATGAACGTCGCGTTCACCCACCGCGGCGCAGTGATACTATTGCCCGCCACGTCCTGGGCGATCCAGGTAGTCTTGAGCCTAATCTCGGCTACTTGTGGTTTGGCATCCCGACTGAGACGTGCCAAGCTCTCGGACAGAATCGGCAGGTCCTCTTCCACAACGCAAGTGCTCCATGGTCGAACCACAACCTTCAGGGGGTTGACCTTGGCAAGCCCGCAGAGTTCAAAAAAGACATTGTTGGCACCGAGCAAGCGACCACTCATGTCCATGTCAAACATGCCGACTGTAGCAAGCTCAGCCATGCGTTTGAGGTTGCCTGCCTGCTGTGCTCGCATGATGGCTTCGTCGGCTACCTTCTTGTGGGCAGTGACGTCAGTGAGGCAAGTAAACGTTCGAATAATGGTGCCATCACCCGCACGCTCGGCCTTTGCCTGGGCCATGACGTGTCTTTCTGTTCTGTCTTGCGCCGCCGCTGCCAAATCAAGCCCGGCGTTCTCGAATGGCGATTGCACCCGCATTGGCTCCTCCTTGTGATCAGCCTCTCGTATGCGGAATTCAAAGTCAACCTCATCTCTGCTTTTCAGTCGTTCATACGCTTCTCGTATCTTAGGGCGGTCTTCCTCTAGCACACAGGCGAGAAAGCCAGCGTTTGAAACGGGTCCCTCTGGATACCCCGTGATGCGATACCAAAGTCGGTTGGCAAAGGTGATATTGCCTTGGTGATCACCGATTGAGAAACCGTTGGGTATGAACTCAGACACCGTCTGGAACAGCCTTGTGTATTCGATTGTCTCCTTCATCTGATACGCCAACTTCTCTTTGAGCATGGCGTGATCATAGGCCGCTTGCTCGGCAGCAGTCCGGCCACGCCGTCTTTCCTCTTGCAACAGCACGGTGCAGGCAAGAGACATGCTTAACTTTTGGTTGAGAAGTCTGATGTAGAGTTTGTACGCATCGTCGTAGGGCCGGCGTGGGTTGAGACCAAGTATGAGGACACCCATCTCCTCCTCATCTCTCGTTGGACGGATGGGAAGAACGATGGCGAGGTCACAGGGATCGCCAAAGCCACGCCACTGAAGACCTTGTAGCAGGTGCTTCGGTAGGCTTCCGTCAGCCTCACTTATCAACAAGGGTTTTCCTGCCTTGCAGCCGCCCTGCGGATCTGCGATGCCAGCCCATCGTCAGTTTCACTCAGGCGCAGCTGCTCAGGGGTGATGGGGTGGCCTGGCGGAACACCCAAGGCGCCTTCAAAGTGGCAAAT